ATATATTCTTTAAATATAGTAGCCATATTTTTAATAATTTTCAATGAAAAATGTCAATATGTAAAGTATCTATGTACTTAATCAATTATCCCTATTAACATATTATATTTATTATATACAGTTTTGTCAAACAAACCAATCCAATTAGATATTAATAAAAAGATTTCGATGTCCAGTCAGTGGCGTTGATGGATTCTTAACTGGATGGTTCTAAATACATGTTTGCTGAACTTTGACTGTATATAAAAAGCCGTTAGACCTTTTTTTTTCTTTTAGAAAAGCGTGCATGTGCACTATGTATATGATAGTAATACTTAAAAAAAAAATGACAAAGGCAGTATTATATCATAATCATTTATGTCTTTTTTTTATTGATGGTAACCTATTGATTATTTTCTGACATAGTTTTTTTTCTTAAATACGTTTTCACAAAATTCAGTTTTCAATGTTTGACAACACTGTAGATTTTTGATATTTTTTCCGTACAATCTGAACGGCACAGTTTTTTGATCAACGATTTGCATGTGTTTTCTCTTCCAATATGTTTAATCTCTAATATATATATTATTTGTAATGTAAATTAAATAAGGTTATAAACTTAAAAAGGTGTACCAAAAACACTAGGTATACACACAACAGTTTAGACAACGTTCGTTCATATTTATTTCTAACGTGGTATGTCCCACATAAAAAGAAGTCACGGGATACAAGATTATGGATTATTGTAATTATCGAGTGGCCGAGCTCAATTGAGATCAGAAGACCGAGACATCTCTCCGGCAACAAATCATTTCGTCTCTCACAATATTTTAACATTATTAAATTTTTGATTGATTCGACATTTCTAACAATTGGAAATGAACTACCTGCTAAAAATACCATTGATTTAAACGAATTGGTAAATTTTAAAATTTAAATTGACATCTAGGTAATTTGTGTGTTTTAAATTATCAATATGCATAGTATAAAATGAAGTCTATTTTTTTTGTTCGGGATAATCTTCGAAACGACTGAATGGATTTTGCTGCGGTTTACACTATTGGATAGACAATTAACCGAGGAAGGTTTATAGCTATTAACATCCATTTCCTATTGAAAACCATCTCCCAAAATGTAGTTTTTATACATGATTATTAATTATTATTATTTATTTATTTGAAACTAGCATTAATAATACGGATGAAATGAAAAAAAAATCAAAAGATTTATCAAAAAGTATGTATGAGATATCTTATTAATATTAATAAAATTAATTTTAAAGATCTATGTGCCATGTTATGCAATAAGCCTATAAACTGTCTTTAACAATTTTTTATGTTTTAGATTTTTGCAAGTCAATAAAATAAATTTTATAGTACTGTTAAGATTCAATACACCAATAAAAATTTACTATTCAGTTGATACTGTTATTGATAGATATGAGGCGGTACATTATCCAATTACATTTTTAAATTCGTTAAAGAGACTCCACCGCATAAATTATTTCAAAAGATAGGCTCTCTTTTACCATTACTCCGGAACTTAAGTCCATCAAAATTATGCAACGGTACAGGATTGCAAATAGAAGCTTTAAAAAACTGTCTGCTTAAGTGTTTGATTTTTACTGGATGTGGAGCTGGTAAAACGGTCTTGGTCCTTAGAACACCAATGATATGAACCAATCTACTATTCCAGTTTAAAAAACTCCAATTTCCTATGAAACTATGTTTTTCAATGAACATCTATAAGGCACAAGTTCAAATATCAAATGTTGCAGGTTTAGACTTAACCTCCTAATGTTTTTCCCATGATCAATTGTACGTGGCAATTGTACTCAAGGCAAATGGTAATTTAAAATTTAAAAATATATATTATAAAAGAATACTTTTAGTCCACCGAAAGCAGACCACTTTCCACCTATTGTTTTTATTCATTACTGACACGGTTAAAACCAACAAGAAATATGAGTAAAAAAAAAAACATAAAAATTGGCACGGACAAGGCCGAGGGGGACAGCTAATTTATTTATAAATGTGTTTTCTAACATTATACATTACATAATATCAAAGGTTAAACAAATAAATATTTTTTTTTTTAGATTATGTACCTTATATAATGAGCTATAAAAATACATGTAGATATCTAGTGCTATACTTGGGCTTAATCTTGCCCCGTGTGGACCGCACTTTAATCAATCCGAACATAACATGCTATACCGTTGTAATTAAATTATCCTTTTCGTATTATATTATTATTATTACTGTGATTACATCCGTGTTATCGCAAAGTATAAATTTCGTCGTATTACGAGAATAGAACGGGTTATGTATGGGTGATGTGATGAGAGGGGACGGCGATTTATATAGGATGATAACCATCATTTTCGTAGGGTATATAGCTTTTAACCGACGACGACGGTATGGTTCGTGCGGACGAGTCTTTAGCGATAATAGTGTTTTTTTCCGGGCCGACCCTGTATAATATGCATCGTCTTCGTCGAGATGACTACTCGTTGTGACGAATACTCGTCGATATTGTACATCGGGGGGTGGGGGGAGGTTAGGTTAAGGTTATATTATATAGAAGAGTGCGCGGAAAGAGTAAAGAAATCCGAGTCGGAATTACATGCAAATGACGACGGCGGCGGACAATTTGCCAGCGGAACGGGTGAGTAAGACGGAAAGAAAGATAGAGAGAGAGAGAGTGAGAGACGGATGACAGACCATCTATCACCGATGTCGGCGACGGCGTGGTACCCGACGATGTATCATATAGCCCTGCGATGTCACAACCGACTTGCCGTTTTGTAAACGGTACGGTGTGTGTATATAGTGTGTAGAGCCCAAAACCTAGAAATGTCAAGTGATCGGGCGAGCGAGGGTTTTATAAATGAAGTTCGAAATATTTCCAAGATCAATCATTCTTAATTAAAAACTCCCAGATCAGTGCGGGCATGTAAAGGATTTTAATTTTGTTGCAGCCGTGGAATAATAATTATTGTGCTGTATAATTTAATAATATAATTATTATACGTGTTTAAGCTAATCGTAATAAATCGATATGATTACAAATTGAAAAGTCTAAAACTGTTCACGTGTAGGCCACTGTTATAGGTGTGTATAGTTGCGAAGGAAGGACGTACAGGAAAATTCAATTGATACACAGTATGCTACGATAAATCATTGTAAAAAATAAAAAAAGAGTCGTATAGTTAGTATTTTTTTATCCCGTAGCCAAAGTAATCTATAAAATATAAAACTATCGAAGATAAAATGGAGTTATTGAAATTTTTTGTTAGTAGCTTTTATAAAATTATATATATATAAAAACTATTCAGAATATGAACACTTTTTCAAATAAAGTGTAACCAAGTTAAAATCTGCATCTTAAAATGTACGGCGCTAATAACTGGGAGTCTTTTTACTAACTGAAAAAGTGTTTTTTGAGAAAAAAATTAAGTTTTAAATAAAGTTCACCGAGCAGAAATTTCACATCTTGTGAAGTACTGTTGGACAAATTTGCATGAATTTTCTAACAATAAAGGTGTTAAAAAAATATAATGTTTTGGAATTTCGAAAAATGTTTCAAACAGATTGCAGATCAAACTAAAATCCACATCTACGGTACATAGCATTGTTCACATGTGATAATATGTTTGAATCACGTTAAACAGTTTGTATTAATCATTTGGATTTCAATACTACTTTATTAGATTCATATTATAGTATTTTTTACAGTAATTTCATTGTTTGTCACAATGCAGTTTTTGTCAATCATTATTTAGCATTATTTAGCAAATGTAAGTAGTTACAGTCGTGTATTATAACATATGCTACGGACCGTCAATTTCGATGAATAATTATTACCTTATATTTTATATTTCCTATATTAAAAAAATAATCTTTATTTAGCTACATTGTATAGATAATATTTCAAACGTAATAAAAAATCGGTAATTGACATAGATTAGTTACGATTTTTCAGATGGTTGATAATTCACTTAATACTATAGGATCTAATTGAGACTAAATATTTAACATAAGACCTGTTTTTGAAACATCAAGAATTTTTAACAGTCCTTATTAGTAGAAAATCTATCTTTTGATTAACCTTTTTTTGGTACAATTTATAAAATTTATAAATTTATACAATATAAATATATATAATGTAAATTTATAAAATATCTTTTTAAAAAACATTATTCCAGGCAAAATTAATTGAAAATAATACTGAAAAAATAAAATAAATTAAAATTAGTTATTCAGAAGGGATAACTAGTATAAACAAAAGATGTTGACTGTATCGAATACAACATTGGCCAGTAGGCAGGACTATAAAAACTAGGTATAAAATACCAGAATATGATATTTACACTTTGTTAAAATGTAGTAAAATTTAAAATTGGTTTGTTGTAGAAAAATATAGTTTATTTTATAAAATACCATACAACGTGATATTTTAGATTCTAAGATTAGTTTAAAAAATTGTTTAGTAAAAACTTTCCACCTGAAATATTGATCCAAAATAGCAAGTATACAATTTTTTTTGAAAGAAAATTTTATCTAGCTATTACTTTAGAAGAGCTATTTTTTTAAATTTCCAAACGGTTATTATAATAAATGAAAAAATACCAGAAAAAACTTAAATTTTACTTGGGATTTCCAAATATATCATAAAATTATTATGCAAATAGTACAATTGCGTACTACACAAAAAATCCGTTAAGTATTCAACTTTGAAAACTAATTATTCAGATAAAGGTTGTAATGTTGCAAAATTTGTGTATCAGTTGCTGATAACAATATGCACGAGTTGGCAGTGGCCAGTGTGCTATCGTTTCCGCGTCGTTCGATCACGCCAACGGGGTACGGGGGTCTGCCGTCCTCCGAACTACTGTCCGCACCACGGTCATTATTCTACAGTCCGCGTAGCCATGTAGTACGTAATTCTTTGTTCGACCGAAAACCGACCCGAGCCCGTGTAAAATAATCTACGGTTCGCCTTAGATCGGCACCGACAACCGTCGTCCTACAGTTACGATTCAACAGTGGAATTGATACGACATCGTAAGCCCAAACTGTCCGCGCCGAGTGGGTCTCAAAACACAAAAAGAACACACTTTTTTTTGTCATGATGTTCGGCGCCAACATGATGGGCTAGACGTACCGACTGTGGTCTGCGGTGGATCGCGAACGAAGGAGCCGTGCGACAACAACGACAACAGCAACAACAACAGTAATATCAGTCAGGATAACCAAAAACCCCCTAAAATTTACCGAATTTATAATATTTTTGTTTTTTATTTATTTTATCTCAGCACTTTTCCTACTTTTGTTTTCCCCCTCTAGTCCATTTCTAAAATTCTAAAATTCACGTTACAAAATTATAATAAATATAAAATCATTGATGGACCGAGCTCTCTCTCTCTTTTTTTTT